CCGCGAAAGGGCGGCGAAAGGGCTGTTTCTGGGAAATGGGATTTTGGACAACCCCCATTTGGATAACTGTACACTTTAAACGCTAGTGGCCGCCAGCACGTCCGCCTCATCATCGCGACTCGCAGGGAGGCTCACGGCCAGGACGCGACTTGCCATGGCGTTCGGGCGGAGGTGTCGGGCCAGAAGAGTGGCTGAGTAGGCCCATTGATGACAAGAGCGGAGGGAAGCGGGTGTGGCGAATACACAGCCATGGCATGATTTTAGAATATTTTTAGAGTCCCAAAACCCCTTATCACAACCAGATACCAGCCTAATTAGATGTTGCAAGGTTTCAGAAGCTGAGTGGGAACCCAGCAGGAAACAGATTCATCCTTGGGAAATCCTTGCTGTTGGTTCGTCGGATGTTATGAGCTTGATCTTGGGAGAATCTTGATGCATGCCTCGTCTAGAATCCGTGCCCGGTGACACAGCCAGTGAATAGAAACCCAAAGAGGCCGGCCTCCTAGAATCCCTAGCTGAGCCCTACACCGCATACATGGAGGTGTGTAGGACTATAATGTCATTGTAGAGCTACTTTTGAATTCAGGACTTCGGGCAATTAGGGTGTGGGTCAAGCAGAAGTTGTCTGTGTATGTTTTTCGATGTTTTTTGACAAAGCATGTAGACACCCAATACGCGCATGAACAGCCACGGGGGCCGATGAAGATCCTTTAGTGGAGCGGCATGGCAGTTCGGGTGCTGGGGGATGGGTGCCTGGGACGTGTCGTGTGGGGTTTGCGGAATGCGCGGGATCAAAAATCAAGGGGTAGTTCCCGAATGCTCCACAGACGGGTCCCCGTTTTAAGTCTTGGGTGCAGGAGTCGAGTCCAGGAGCGGTCCAAAATCGATGCCCGCATGTCTTGAAGCGTCCACAAGCGGCCAGCGGCCGTAAGACTAGTGTCGCACCGCTGGCTGTAACTAGTGGTGGAAACTCTCATCACTTTTGGACCATTGTTTCTTCATCGCATGTCAAAAGTGGGGGGACGAGGCCTCTCGTGGTCTCAATCCTCGTGGCTGTCGTTGCCATGACTTTTTGGACCGTCGTTTCTCGACAATCACCAAGAGTCACCAGGATGCCACCTCTCGGGTCGCGATTCCTATGATTGTCGTCACCTTTGGAATAGCCCCCCCTATCTAAGGATGTTAGGAGGGAGTCCCCGGAAGAAAATCTCCTATTTCCGAAGGGGGGGGAGTGGGTAGGGGTTTGGAACACGAGGAAATCGAGCCAACAACAGGAGGAAAACACTAGTTGCTGGCGTCTCTGCACGAAGCTCCGACTTTCGAAATTAGGGGTCTCCGATATGGACTCGAATATGCTATGATCCATATTATTGTAGGTCCCCCCAAAGGAGTGCCGTTGATTTCTAGACGCCCGCATAAATCCGCACTAGCGCATGTGAGCTCCGTCGCTACTGTGATACACCAACCGGCCCCAGGATACCACATGGTCACCCTTGCGGGGCTGCGTAGGCTGAGAGACGCGAGCTCAAACCCAACCTTAACGCCCATGGCCCAGTATAGCCATCGTCATCTTCTTTTTCATTATCATCACATATCATCACCATACGTCATGAGGCATCATGAGGGTTGATGATGGTTGATGCATTCAGGGAGGGTCAATTTACAAACATGCATGCCCAAAAAATCCTGACAAATCTGGGCCCTTCAAATCCAAAGAGTGCCCTGGGAGTGGTCATCTTATACAGATGCGCGAGCACTGCCCGAAACCTGGGGCCCGTCATTTCACAGAGCCATTCTTCCCTCACCGTTTACATGTAAAATTGGGTGTCCCTGGGTAAAGTGTGAAGGCAGTGGGGATATTCAGCCACCCGCCACTGTAATCAGTTCTGATTCTTTCACCCATTAACGCCCCCCTCCCAAACCCCCTCCAACTTAGACCACTCTTTCCCCCCATACCCAACCCTAAATAGGAAATTCCCTACTTCTCCACAACCCCGCCACCCCTGCCCCCTGGATACTCGTGGATAGGGGGAGGGTATCTTTTGGACCATCGCGTCGTCGTCGCGCTTCGAAAGTGCCAACAGTCATAGAGACCTTACCATCCTCAAAACTGCAGTCTCTTTCAATGTCGCGAAGTGTCGTATCAGGTGTAAATGGTGTAATGTGCGTCGTCTTATGCATTCGTGTTGGATTCGTCAATGTTCTTTGCTTCGTGTGATGGTGTTGTGCTTTCGTGTTGTGTGTTCCGATCGTCGGTTTGCTCGTGTTTTCGTGTCGAGTCGTCGTATCGTGTCGTTGAGTTGTAGCATCTTGGTGTCGTGCTTTCGTATCCTGTGTGTCTTGCCTCCGTTTCGTCCTGGTTGCGTCGTGCATTGCGTGTGTCATGCGTGTGTCCTGCTCTGTCTCTCCGTGTCTCTGTCTGTGTGGTTGATTGTGTTTGTTTGCATGTGCGTGCATCACATGTGAATACATGTGAGACGTGTTGTGTCCTCCTTTGAGCTCTTCGTGCCTTTGTTTCATCTCTTCTTGTCGAATGCCCCTGTTTTCGTGTCTTCGTACATTTTGGTTTGGTTTGGGAACCTGGAAAATGACCAGATCCTCGCCTCTTTATTTCGGATGCCTGTCAGCCGGAGGATGAGAATAGGATTTGCGTGGCACGTGTCTTACTTGGTTGAAAGAAGGGTCTGCAGACGAGCGATCTTCACAATCTATCCGAATGCACCATGTCTAGCCAGGCATCGTCTAGCAGCTCTGTGAAGCCAGCTAAACAGGCAAGTGCGCTGATGCAAATCACACGCGCACGACGGAGCAAGAGCATTCATAGAACTGGATCAGGCATGGCCTGAAGAGGACCTGCTGAGCGGCTGTACCTGGGCATTGCGCATTTGATTGTAGCCAGGAGGCCAGGACGGGTGCTGGAAATGCGGCGAAGAGGCCCGACCGCTTGCGCTTGCTCAATAACTTCACTTGCAAGCTGGCAGTTCGCACGAACCCCTCAACACCTTTTGGCATCTTGTAGCAACGTGTCAAGGTTGAGCGCCGAAGCTTGGAAAGATGGGCCGGAGGTTCCGTAACAAAATTTGTTGGCAAAGTCACAGTGAAGAAGGAGAGGAAGAGTCTGCTGATGAGGCGACCCGGGGCCCATGTCCGGGGCCTTTGAATGATGGCGCACGCAGCCCAGATTGATTCAGGAGGCAGGCCGAAATTTGAGCTGATCGTTTCCAAGATTGGCTTGACTAAGGCGGCAGTTGGCTCTGGCGGTGCTCTTGCTGGCAGTAGCAGCGAGCGACCTCTAGCGCGCCTGCCCAGTTTGCGTGGCCTTCCAGCGCACTCATCAAGCGGTTCCTGGTTTTGCCAAGGCTCTTGGCCGGGCAAAGGCACATGTACCGGATAGATCTCTTTGGCGTGTCTTTGCTGTGCCGTGCTGCCTCTGGAGGTTGACACAGGCTCGTCAGCAAAGCCGTCCACACAGACTCTTAGCTCAACATTTGGACGGACACTAAATAGGAACTGGCAGAGAAGTGGATGCCCTGTTGCCCTTGCTTTTGAAAAGGAAGCCTGGTGGACAGCTCTGGGATTCGGTGATGGAGCTTTGTGCGGAGAGACGCTTCCTAGAGGCCTACAAGCAGGCCTTCAGGGATTAGGGCAGTCAGGACCTGCCCTTCTTTGCCACATCCACTGTATGCGTATCACCCTGCAGGTCATCGCTGAGCCCGAGGAGACATGCTTGCTTCGGCTTATGAAGCATACAGGCGGATGTCTGTGACGTTGCAAAGTTGATTCTGTGCCACCGGGGCTGTACGCCGCTGAGTGTCTTGGATAAGAAAGGTCAAACTCCCAAGCTATGAGCGCGGTTTTCAGGGCCACGATGTTGCAGTTTCTGTTGTAGGTCCAATCGTGGACAGACTGGATGCCGAGAGCAATTCCAGACTGCCGGCGCCGCAGTCTAGCTGCACTCAAGCTCATGAATCGCACGAAGCGATCAGGATTCGGCGCCTGATTCACATCCTTTCCTCGCCAGCGAAGGTCTGCCCGGAGTCTGCCCTGCTCGTTTCAAATTCATTGACTTGTTGCCTAGCTGAATGCAGGATCCAGCAGCTACAAGCATCGAACAGATCTTCTCCTGGCTGTGGCAGGCGGGGCACGGCTTTCAGGAGTCTGCAGCAACTCATGAGATTCGCTTGCAACAAGACCTCATTCAGCGCGTGGCGACTGAAACGAAACATGAATTATTTGGCCCAGGAACTTCTACCATGCTTCTTGTAACAAGGTTCACGGATAACTTGTTGTTGTCCCCGAGCTGATGTTCATGCTTGCTTGATGCTACTGCTGGGACGAGAGGAAGCCCCTCCTAAAGTACATGTTCGGAAATCCTCCTGAGCCGCTGCCATTTTTTGACATCTGCCAGGCTCTGAACCAGGGCATACACTTCACAGCGTCTCAGGTGGAAGATTTGGTCTCTGCACTCCAGAAAGCCCAGACCTGAAACGAAATCGATTTGGTGTGTTGGCTATAGACTCGCAGAACCCTGACAGTTCATGAATGCAGCCCCGTGGAAGTCGGCACAGAAGCTGGCTTGCCTGTAGAATGGTGGCTCGAATTGTGTCTGAGGTTTCGTCTGCTCAGTCGCCACTAAGTGCGCCTGAAAAGGCTGAGGCCGCCCAGCTGCTGCAACAGGCCTCGCTGCAAACGTCTTTGAGCTTCTGCGTGGATCTCCACGTTGCCAGGTCTCTGCGCATAGGCGAGCTTGAGGTCGCCTTGCCGCCGTCCTGCGGATGCGTGAGCCGGTACACTAATCGCAATTTGCCACTGGCTGGTGCACTGGTCAGTGGGTGCGTTTGTTTAATTTATGTTGTTTCACTTGGCTACTAGCTGCTTGCTAGCTCTTGCGACAAAGAAGTGCGAGAATCTACTAATTACATGAAAAGGTTGGCCAGCAAATCGACTACCTGCTGCATTGCTCTTGAAACTTTCTGTGGAATGGGGTGCGCCTTCAGCAACAAGCAGTAGCGGCGCTGCTGGCACATGTGGCTCCATCAGAACGAAGAAGTTGGAAAGCACGGTCACCTCAGGGGCAGCCCGGGCCCTGCTCTTGTGACATCGGGTAGGCTTCAGGGCCACTGCGACTAATATCATTATTCTTACTACTACTACTACTACTACTAGTCTACTACTACTGGAGATAATACGAGGCAATGGGAGCGAAGCCTTCAAGGGGTTTGTCCTCCCAGGAGCACCGTCCTGAGAGCGCTGCGATACACCAAGCTTCTGACATGCTGACCAGACCCATCCAGATCGAGTTGAATAAGCATTTATTGTTTGTTCAACAAACATGCTTCAGAGAACATGAGCTCAGGGACACATGAAGCAAAAATACTGCTCGCGAAAGCATCGCGAAAGGGCTTGCCAAAGGTTTATAGATTTTGTAGCTGGGAGAAGGAAAAGTGGCCAACCCCATTTTGGGCCACGTGCAATGATGCGTGCAGAAGGGGCTTGAGTGGTCACCTAGTGACTCGCCTAGTGACCGAAACGGCGAGGGCTGCAAGATTAATAAGCTTCATGGATGATGCATGATGTGTTGACAAGCAGGGTCAGCTTGCCGGCAAAATTGATAGCCAGGTTAAAACAGCCGCTGCTGCCACTGACAACCCATTGCGCGGAGCGGGCCTGAGCCAATTCTGATCAAGATGTTAACCAGACTTGCGTTGACTCAAAATCGGAATGTCCAAAGGCCTACAAGCCAGAAGGTTGGAAAATGCCTTGGCATGCAGCAAGAAGAGAGACGTAGCATGAGAAGCTCGTGAAAGTGATGCAGGCAGCTGGCTGAGTACGCAGCCTCCCCAAAGTGGAGGAAGCCAACCCTCAGCTCCGGCCAGCTTCAAGGCCACCAATCGAAGAATCCAAGCTCCCATTAGTGGGATTTGAGAAATTCTCAGCTGGGCTCAGGCCGGCAAGCCAAGAAAAACCAGAGATTTCATCGACGGCGAGATAACTCTGCGTTCTACGTGCACTAGGCCTCATCGCTCACCGGCAGTCGTCTTTTCCGCGGCTTCGCTGTTTGCATCGAGGCACGTATGGGATGGAGAGAGCTTCGACCCGCGATTCGTCACTGAAGAGCAGACAACTCATGCTATCAGTGGACAGGCCGCTTCAAATTTGATGGGTTCTACGGGTCTTGCATGCCGCGCATACTTGTTGCCTGGAGCTTCATCTCCTGCACAGTTCCATGGCTGTGGATTGTCTGCAGGTGGCAACCCTCGTATGCCGCTATGTGGACGAGGGAAGACAGGGAGGGAAGGCCATACATGGTGGCATGCTTCAAGCCAAAGCTTCCGTCTACATGTAGCTGCAGGTAGCTGAATCCAGTGACCTTGAAATTAGCTGCATGTGCACGACACTGGCCTGCCAAACTGGGTGCCGCAGAATGTTAGCCTTTGGTGCCAGATGTGCCAGGCTCGGGAAAAGAGCAACGACGACTTCCATGAGGTCAGGAATTGAGAATTTGATGCCTTTCTGTTCGAATCTGATCCCCACATTCCTTAAATGCACGAAACGCCGGCTGAATTTGTCCTAGAACCTGCAGCTGCGGATCTTGCGCCCCTATGCAGGCCTCATGCAACTTGAGATTGTGTTGCAGGATCACTTCCTGCGTCGGAGATGGTGTTGCTGTCCCCGCAGAAAAAAGAAGCCCGATCTGTCCGAAGCCTGGAAGTTCGTCAAAGCACTGGCTGTGATCCAAGCCGAATCGTGAAGTGAGTTCGTGCGACTCACAGCGCTGAGGTCGCATGAGGCTGTCTTGACTTTTCTCAATGATATTTCGGACTCCCTGTATTTTTGCAAGCAGGCAGCGCGGTGTCAACAGAACTTTGGCAGCGGCATTCAACTATACTAGACTTCCGACCTCAGGTGGTTGTTTTGTGTGCAATTTACATCGAGCGCTTGATTGCGCAAGTCTTGGCCTCACAGTGTCGAAATTGCTTGCAGTAAGTTCGTCAACCGAATCCCAACAGTACTGTCCGGTGCACCAAGACTGACACAGTGCTGACGGTTGGCAACTGGCGCTCACTTGTCACCGCCGGCCTACTAATTGCATCCAAGGCCGATGTGTGCTGGTTTCTGTAAAGATGATTACTAGCACTACCACTACTACTACAACGACCACCACGACCACCACCACCACGACCACCACCACCACGACCACCACCACCACGACCACCACTACCACGACCACCACCACCACCACCACTACTACGACTGGTACTACTAGGCTTGCCAGTGGTGAAAGTGGGGCTTCGCACAAAGTCTTAAAGAAATTGCCCTCCTTTCCCGGCTTTTTCACATTCCGAAAAAAATATACATATATATATATATATATGTGTGTGTGTGTTTTCGCGCAATTGAGCACAGAAGACACGTTTTGGTGCGGCCACCTGTTCTTCGTCTTTTTTACCAATATTGAGTCACCCCAACAGTCCAGGGCGCCCCATTAGTCCAAGGTACGCCCCAAGGAGTTCTGGTTTAATTTTATCATCACCCCATTAGTCCGGGGTAATTACAGGCCCTATTTGTATTTTTGATTTTTGGTTGGCAGTCTACAAGATTGGACCGTGAGCATCCTCCAGTTCTCGCTTCAACTTCCGGATATCCTGACCAGCCGGGGACGCGCTTGTTTACTCTTTGGTCGCATGCCCCGCATGCCACACAATCGTGACGTCATTTGCCACAGTTGCGACCTTTCGTAATTGATCGTTTCATACCCGACTATTCCTGGAGCTAGTGTGAACGACGCACAAGTTTCATGTTGTCCTTTGTCAGACATGTCTCGCAGAAATCGCTTCAAAAAGTACGAGGGCAAATGAGCCCATGTGAAACCCACAGCTTTTTTTTAGCCCGGCAACGTCACGAAAACGCACCCTCAAGAACTTGACCGGCGGCTATTAGTACTAGTACCAGCACCAGCACCAGCACTAGTCACCGCCGCCACCACCGCCGCCACCACCACCACCACCACCACCACCACCACCACCACCACGTACCACTACCACAACTTTTTGACCACCTGGTCTGATGTCTAAGACATTTAGAGGTTTGCATGCCTCTTTGCATGGGGGGGCCTCGCGTGGTTCCCAGGCGAAACCAACAGCGACATGATCTCTGAATATTGTGGTAGGGAGATCCACGCCCAATTTTAGGCACCCCCCTTAAGAGTTTCCCAGACCTGGACTAAATTCTGGAAGTGCGTGTCATGGAACGAGACGATTTCGAAAGTGATTGAGTGGGGAGTTGTCAGACATAAATGCTGAACAAGGGGCGTTACAAGGGAGTTAGGGTCATTATGCGGAATCATACTTTCAGGTTTCTTAGATTTCCAACAAACAGCAAAGATTTCAGGCGTTTTAGTCTTTCTTTACGGAAAGTTGGGAACGATAGAACATCAACAGTTAAAGTTGCGTGAAAGAATATCACAGCGACGTTTTGAAGTCGCCCTCTGATGCGTTTCCCGCGGGTGGATTTTGGAAATCATGTTGATGATTTGCCTTGCCTAAATCCAAGAGGGAAGATTAAAAAAGGCAACACGCAATTTGAGACAGTGAGTTGCTTCCTCAGGCAGTGTGCTTACACTATGGCATTATGGGTTCGTGCATTCAGAGCACGCGTGGCACGCACATTCTTGGGGTAGGCGCTCGCCTTGGAGTATCTTCAGAAATCGTGATGTCAACAGTCCCGCGGTGCTTGTGCGTTCGTTGACCTCGTGCTGCCTCGCGCAGCGCCATGGAATAGACCAACTTCTACCATATGGACTGAGGTGTTTTGATCCGTTTCACCAGTTAGATGCCCCGCGTCGTCTTTGATTGTTGGAAGCCCTGCTTTGCAAACACCACAATGCCTCAAAGCCTCAAACGTAGCGGCAGATTTTCAGCATGCTGCCCCCAGAATGTGAAGGCCGCCTTTTCCTCCCTCGTGTACTTTCTGGAATTGTTGCGATAGGTTGTTAAGCTTGTCATGGTGATCTTTGCCGTTCGTCACCGGTAAAATCTCGACAAATACATCTTCGAATTGCGTTTGGTGCATGATTTCTAAAAGTCACCCACTTGGAGAATATTAGCAATGAATTGTACCCGGTGTTTAAAAGGACGTAGTGGTCCCTCTGCAGAATCAAAATTGATTTGGGTGTGCCAGACCTTCAAGACTGGAAGTATGAGATGATAGAAGAACAATACAAGCACGTGTCTGAGCTAAGGTTTGCCAGGATGTTTAACTCCCTACCTGATTTTTCAAGGCTGGTCTTTGGGGCCAATCTCACGGACTCCTCCTCCTACTCCTCCTCCTCCTACTACTACTACTACCACTACTACTACTACTACTACTACTGCTACTGCTACTGCTACTGCTACTGCTACTGCTACTACTGCTTCTTAGGGAATGCAGCTCCAGAGTGAAGCGTGTGAAGAGTTGACCCAGTTGCTCTCCAGGTATGGGAAGATATCCACCCTTGGAATGCTGACTTTGAGGAATGCCTCCTTGAAGTTGCAGGTTCCCGGCTTTTGAAAGCGCTCTAGAATTCGTGAAGGAAAACTGATCAGATGCCTGCAAGGAATCCGCTACAAATCCGGCGCACTTTACCGCTTGGAGTCTATGTTCTTGCAGAAGCTGCAGTGCGAGAGCTCAGCTGACTGAAAGTTTCGGCTGGACAGGATGCATTTGGCTGGGCTGCCAAGCGAAGTACTTAAGGTGGAAAGTGTTCGTGGATGCCAAGATCTATGCTGCCTACTTCTTCTCCTTGATGGAAGGAATAAGGCAAGGATGCGGTCTTCCTCTCCTAGTTCTCCAGCAGCTGGAGTCACTACTTCAGCCTTCATGGAAGATGTGCAGGCAGAACAGAAGCCAGAAGTTGAAGCAACGGTCGCAGAGGCCAAGGCAGCGTGCCTGGAAATGTATTTTGAAGTGTTGCGCGTGGTGTGCGGAGCCTGGGAGTGCCCTAAACTAATTACGAAAGCTTTTCTGAGCTTTCGTCCAGGTCCAGCTTTGCTGATCTGTACTAAGGGGGTGTGGGGGAGGGGAAACCCCCAAAAGTGGTCAAATTTGGCCGTGTTTCGCGGGCCAGACCCAGCGGCAGGAGGGTTTTGGGGAGGCCTACTTTCGAGCCTCGAAAACAGGGGTCACGAAAAATCTGTTCATGTCCGGTTTTGGGGTGCCGTGGAGGCCATTTGGGACGCCAGATGGCAGGTTTTTGGGCACGTTGGAAGCCGTTCTTGGGCGCGCGGAGGCCGTTCGCGCTCCGCCGCTTCATGAAAAAATGCACGTGCTGGTATGCACCCTGCTTGAAAGCTTTCGNNTCGTCCCCTCCCCGTGGGCGCAAGTTGGGTGAAGATGCCGTGCAAAGTTCGCATTCAACGGGCGAATCTCTCAAGTCATAGCATTTTGGCAGCATCCCTGAACTGCACACGTGCCTGCGTGCCTCTGCACCTTGCCAGCTCAGGCACTATTCTGACGCGCTCTCAGTCAACTGACGCCTCACAGCCTCGGAGCTAACTACGCTTGGCTGCCGTTCTCCTCAATCTTTGCCCAAGGATTTCGCTTCAATCAAAGAGGTGGGCGCTTTTGCATACTAGTAGCTGACCCACATTTGTTTCGTAAGATGAAGTACTTGCAAGCTTGGAAGTATCGCCCCTGATGAAATGGGTGTTCTTGGGGATTCTAGCGGTCCTTGAGGGCAAGTGTAGGTAGCGGCCGCACTAGAGGCTCCTGGTTTTTCCGTAGGCCTGCTGCTGCAGGAGAAACAGGGTGCCTCCGTAATTGGCTCAATTAGGAACAATCCCACGCCAAGGCTCCCCAAACTGTATGACGCTCTTACAGCTCAACATTTTGTACTCGGAGATAATGGTCAGATAGCTTCGGCCGCACTCATCACACGGGGCCTGAGCTGATCTGCTTTGTTCTTGCCGCGGATGCTCTTCTGAACTTAAATTTCGTCACCGGAGGCTGTTGATCTTTCTTGTGGTGTTGCGATTCTTATGACTATGCTGCGCTGCTTTCCTCGCAACCCCTTGAAGAAGGTGAGTCAAAGGGGAATGGGAAAACAAGGTGCTGGTAGCACAGGGCAAACATGTCATTTGCGGCCATGTCCAGTGTGATCTTGCTGGCGAGGTGTTCCAGACATAAGACGTTTGAGTGCAGCAAGCAGATGCTTATTGAAGCCTAAGTGAGGAAGGCGGCAAGGCAATTCGGTCCTGTTGACAGATGGACAATGTTTGGGCCAGGACGAACAGTTTGCCGAGACGGACTCAGAGTTGGATGTGGAAAGGCTGCTTTCTCCTTGTTTTTTTCGGCAGTTTCCCTAAAATCGGGGATCCCAATATTGACCCATAAACACTTTAATAATACTTTAATTCTATAATCCTTATTGGGCCCCCCAAAAAGGTACCTCTTATTTTTGTGAAACTACCACGCGTAGCTGCCCCAGGGGAACCTTTCCACGCATTCCACGCAATGCTTTGGAGGGGCCTGATGTCTCCAGAGCAGCGTGGTACCTCAGAGCGGAGGACGGGCATGATTGTACCTTGCCGAGGTATCTGAAGCTACTATAGTATGTTGGGGTCATATTATAGAGATAATGGAAAAGAAAATGGAAACTACTATAGTATATTGGGGTTTCATCTGAAGTTACCCATATAACCTACACAAATAGCAAAACCTGCAAAGGGCTTCTTGTGGCCTGAGTGGTGATGTGGTAGCAGCAATTTTCCTGGCCAGCTCCAGCTCAATTGCATCCTCAGCGTTGGCGACCAAGCTTGTGTTGCTGAAAGTTGCTCTTCAAGCTGATGGCTCCTGCGTTGCTGTGATGCAGAGAAGTTGGCCTGGCACAGGTCGCCAGACATGCGGTGCAGGGAAGAAGTTGACAGCTCACACAGTGGCTCGGTTTTTCAGTAACTTTCTACCAGGTGGCTCAATGCCATCAATCTCAGTTGACGGAGTCTGGTGACCGGCTGATGTTGACCTCCGGAATTTGGTAGACAAAGGGACCGAATTCTATAGTCCTGGGAAGAAATGTAAGAAGAACCTGAGCTTCAGGTGGATCCCTGCATAGTGCGCGTGATTGCTGGCGTCTTGACGCAGGACAGGGACATCAGGAATTCCCTGCGCCTTTGAAAGTCCTGAACATCCGGTTTGCTGCACAAGCCTGCACGAAGCAGTGACAGTTCTGTTCCTGTAGCAGGAAATCCGCACATCGGATCACTGCGGCTGGATGCACAGTTTTCTCATGCTTCCTTCAATCTGTGACGGATAGTTGATCATGGGACAGCTTGGCAGGCACGCTCCACGCGCTTTGGCTCCTTCCCGACACATTCCTCAGAGCGAGGCCGGTTGTGAGCGCAACTCTGTCACGAAGTGGGGACGTATGGAGATACAGATAGGAGCTCCTTTGGGCACACCGGTTGGCTTCACGGACGACAAGCACGTCACGGCCTTGGCATGCCTTGGCAGTGCTTGCAAAGCATATGCTGAGGACTTGTCTGTCAGCATTGATCGGATGTGAGGTTTGGACTTCCGAAGGGTCGCCATCCAGAGGCCAGTGAGAGTTGCCAAGCGCGACCAAGATCGCCAGACTAAAGTGAACAGGGACAACAGCCCTCACAGTGCTAGGCGCTCACGCTCTCCGGAGCGACCGGAAGTCAGCTCAAGTCGGAACTCCTGCAATACTTGAAGAAGCGTGGAGAGGAGCATTTGACAAGTAGCATGTTGACATTGTTCGACCATTTATCAAGTTCCAGCATTGCAGCAAGCATCACTTGTCAAGGAGAAGACTGGAGCTGAGGCGGGCGGCGGCGGTTCATGCATCATGTAGCAGCTACTTGCGTACCTTATGTCTTGTGTGGCCGAGATTCGCTGCCCTTCTTTGGTCGCAAATCCTGAATGATCTTGGCTGGGGCGCATGAGTTGGTGCGGCTGAGACAGCTGGGAGGCCGAGGCCCGCGGGCTGAGCATCCTGGAGGAGGCTACCTGCAGCCACAGAGAGGTAATCTATATCTAGGAACTCACAAATGCGCAGGAGGGCGTGTGGTCGGACAATTCTCCCAGCAAGTGACGCGCATGTCATAGTTTGTGGCATGTAGCATAGGTTGGAAGGATTCAGTTGGGAGCCGCGTGAACTTTTGCAATGGGCAGCCTGCCTCTCACATCCTAGATAGCTTACAGGGCGACATGGTCAGCAACATTGTCGAGGAACCATATAATTAGATCACTGGTTCTAGACTTTCCTTGCACAAGCAAAGCACGTCATTCTCGGGCCAATGCGCGGCCACAGTCCTGCTGGATCCACCCGAGTCATTAGCAGCCGCCCGCTTGCACGGGCAATAAAGCGCAATAAACGTCACGTGCCCAACAGAAGGCACAGCTCTGCAATGCTCTGCATGCGGACCTCGGCAGACGCAAGGACTACTTCGTTTCAGTCAGTTTTCTGCGTGCAAGGCTACTTGTCTCCAAGCAAAGTGCTGGCAACGCGTGCAGCTGACCAGTCCCTCAATCTGACCGGGCTGTAACCACATGCTAGCTGCTAGATACACACAAGAAGTTCGATGCTTCGAAAAGCTACCTGCCTTGCCATCCCATCGGTTTGTGACTCATGCGACGACTTCATGAAGATGTTTTGCCTGGCCTGCTCAAGCTGTCAGAACATCACAAGTGAGCTTGCTCAGGCGGCACACGAAGAGCTCAAGCATCACAACGAAAGCATGACAACCAGAAGTCTTAGTTCCGGCCAGACTGCGAACGTGACATGTAGCAAACTCTCCACACACTCTCACCATCATGCCATTGACAGCGCTGGGCTATGCAGTCCCTCCGCAGGTGCTGGTGTGCTTTTGGTTCCCGAGCCGAACTGGATATTGACTCCGCTTCACACACCTCCGATAACGCAGGGCCCGGCAATGCTCCAGCACCCATCAGATGATGGCAAACCTATGCCCTTTCCTTCGCGCGTTGACTCAATGCTCCTGTCTGAGGACCAATCAGCATTAACATGACGTTGGCTTTGGCAAAGCGCCTCACCTTGAGAAGTTATGATCCTTACAGCATGCCCAGGTCGATGGACGTTGTGAGGCCGAAGGACGTCCCGCGTGGCAGAATCTTGTGTGAGAAAGACTACCAGCAGGCCTTGCACAGCATAACAGCTACGTCGAGGCGTTTCTTGCAGCTGTAGGGTGCCTTTCAGGCGCTGCTGGCACATGACATTGATGGAGCTCTGCCATCGCCCTGAGCCCAGCCCCGTTATTCAGCATACATCCTAGACCCCCCAAATGCTGGCATTCTTCAAGTGGTTGAAGCAGCAAGTCAGGTTCATGACGCAGAAGCTCCATCTAGATGGTCCTCCACACAAGGCCCACTAAGCTGTGAAAGGCAGATTGCAAGTATGTACTGCAGCATGTCAGGACTTCATCAAAGGGTCCATTGCGAAGAGCAGCTACCCTTCAACCCACAAGCAGGAAGATCTCTCCTTGACAACTCACGATGTCGATGGTGCCCAGCCAAAGGCGGGACGTCCTGATGAACCTCACAGTAATGCGAGAGAGTGAAAGTCAAACTGATGAGGGTAGCTGCATGAATCTGCACCAGCATGAAACATGGGCCAGTATTCGAGTTCATTGCACCCACAAGTGCCTGTTGGCTCTTTGTGGCAGCACTTTCTGCTTTGGGCCATACTGCCTGTAGCTGTATTTAAGGGATGTTGTGTTTCAAGCTCCTCGGAGCTGGAACCAAGGCCCTCCATCCAGGCTCTGTCAAACACATGCGCTCTGTAGACACTGCCACGGCTCCGCATGAGGGGTGGGACGTGGATAATGCATGCTCTTCGAGCGCATCACAAGAGCTTCCCACAGCCACATAGGAGCATGCTGCACATTTTAGCGAAGAAGATTCGCAGATGATGAAATCGGCCTCCCTTGCCATGTGAAGGCAAAAATCTTCAAGACAACCCGGCAGACAAATCCACTGACACCCAGGTGCCTGCTTTGCAGTAGCAATACAAAGCTCGGCGTTGCTGGTATTGAAGCTTTTTCCAGCCCGTCCCCTCCCATCCCATCAGACTTTCCTTTGGTGCAAGGTACAACTTGCAGTCAACTGTCGCGGACACCCCACAACCATCGCCAATGCGCATGCACGAGCAGATCCCACGCAACACCATGGACTTCAAGGCATCACAACTGGAGTCAGGCTACCTGCAAATTTGCTTTGGGTTCTGAATGGAAAGGATACAACAACCTCGCGAATCCCGACGAGGGACGGGTGCAAGTTGCGAGTCTGCAAGTCTCTGGCATGCGCAATGCATGCGCAGTGTGCAGGACTACAATTACAATCCAGCCGAGGGTCATGATATTCAGCAGCTTGGATGCAAGCAAGAATATTGGGAACTACTATAATGGGTTATATAGGGATTATATTAGCGTTATATTGGGGGTTATATTGGGATAATGGAAAAGAAAATGGAAAGTACTATAGTATATTGGCCTTCTGCGACAAAAGCCATCGCCTTTAAGTGTCATAATAACAATAATAGCTATAACAATAACAATAATAACAATAATAGTAATAGTAATAATAGTAGTAGTAATTGTAATAGTAGCCTTGAGTGACATGAGCTGAGGATGTCGCAGCCCAACATCCGAAATCGAGTCAGCGTGACCACGCCGCGAGACACTCTCAGGAGTGTCTTTCAGAAGCTTCCAACTGCGGAATGATCCATATATAATCCCTATATAATATAGGAGTTTCCATTTTCTTTTCCAGTATCCCACTATTAACCCCAATATGACCCCCATTTTGAATCAGATTCATGTGCTGAAGGACCTTGGAGCGGTCAGGGGAACGGATCCTGTCCGGGAAGCACATCAGTTCTGGCAACAGCACGATGGCGCCGGACTACAAAGCCCAGACCCTGATCTCTGAAAGGAGTCACAGCCCGTACTGTCTAGTAAGAACTCGCAATGGTCCATTGGCATCTGGATGCAAGACATGGAATCCCATGCCGTGTTTCAGACCACGCCTGACGCATTCCAAGAGAGGTGCCGTTCGAGGATACCCATGGTTTGCAGCATGGCCCATGAACCTCACCCTAGACCCTAAACCATGTCAATCCTCAACCTTGAACTCTACGCATCCACACAACTCCGCATAATCCACATTCTCATGTAGCGCACTGTGCTCCGTGATGCCATGGCACGGCCTTCAAGCCCTTTTGCCCAGCGAAGGTGCCCAGTTAAAGCAATGGCAAAGCGACATCCAACGAGGTCCAACAAGCATGCAATGAGTGAAGCAGGCCTTCGCCAGCGAGGCGTGTGCTTGATGGCTGATGGCCTCGAACATCAAAGCTGCAGCCTGGGTGTCCTGCAGTAGCCCAGTGCTTCGTGTATGTGTGCCGAGCCTTTAAAAAAGGTGTTTATTCGAGTTCGCCCTGGGCGACCAGCTCCAGGCTTCAAGGCTCATGGCAGAATATGGCAGATTGAATTTTTTTTCTGCAGCTACGAATTTCTGTTGCTGGAGGTTGACGAGGAGAGGCGGACGCTGGTCTTTGAACACGAGAAAACATCGCTCGTGTCTCAAGCTGATAGTGGATACTTGCGCATGCCAACCTGGTGGAACAAAGGCCCGATTATGACGTGAACAATCAGAAGGCGGCACACTCCTTCCAGTTCGATGGAGCTCGGCTCCTAGCACCGGCACGTTTGGACAGGTCATGGAATGGGGTAGCAAGCAGTTCAGCTGGAAAGTGTGTGTCAGGTTCTTGGTATGCAGATCAAGCAGCAGGAGGTCCTGGACGTCATTGCAAAGCCAGTCATTGAGGTGCCTAAGCTCTGGTGAGTTGCTACGCCAACCCCGATGCAATGCCTGGCTGCAGCCAGGATGTACTTCAAGGTGTCAACGGCACAATATTCGCCTATGGCCAAACAGGTCTGGGAGGGTGACTTCCTGTTGATATACTGAAACAGCAACAGACCATTTGTTCCCTTGAGGCAGCGGCAAAACCTTCACCATCACTGGCGGCGCTTCAAACTATGAAGATCGTGGTTTGATTCCGCGTACGATCCGGCTCATGTTCGAGGCCGCGCAAAGGCAATGACAATTGCCTGGCAAAACTGCTCAACCTTGAGGCCTTTCGAAAAGGGCCGGCACAATATCGCATGTACATATCTTATCTGGAGATCTACCAGGACTGGTTGCCATCGCTCGTTGAAAAATTAGCGTCTGGACAAGGGGCAAAGGCTTTCCGGCCTTCTCACTCGCGGCCTGAAGCCTTGCAACCTTCAATCCAGGACAGCGGGTATGATCTCCTACGCGATGATAGTGTCAGCACCTCAGCAGCCAGTCTGTGAAAGGCTTGACCTTCGTGTCGCAGCCAGGTCCGACGCCTGGAAGATTTGCCAAAGGTCGTGTTGCGCGAGGCCATCGAACGATTTGGATGTCGGTACAAGAACACATTTTCTCCTGCAGGATGAGGACGGCAATATGCATCTGCGCAATCTTTCGGTGAACCTGGCGGCTTCGGAAGAGGTGGAATCAGAGTGATCTTAACCTGCAAGTTGCAATTCATAATTCAAGTGATTTGGGTATCAAAGCTCTCTCATAAGCTCGACTGTCTTGTGTGGTTCCCTGCGGTCAGCTATCGAGACAGGATGCGCTCAACCTGCTGTTTCTCGGCGACACCAACCGCGTTGTTGCTGCCCTTGCCCAAGTTGTGTGACATCCACGCCTCAGCCATTCTAGTTCATCACATTGTCTACCGCTAGGAGACGCCCATGAACGATGCAAGTACGCGCTCGCACTGCTTGTTCATCATCTGGGTCGACTCCACACAGTCCGGGAGTGACGTCTGTGACCGAAAAGTTTGGTTGCCATCTCACACCTTGGGTTTGCTGAAAGAAGTGCTCTAAGGTTGTACGACGGTCAAAGCTACACTTGGTTGACTTGGCTGGCAGTGAACGTGCCAGATATCCCAGACTGCGAAGCAAATCATGCTGGCTTTCTGGGGCAGCAGCATGTGTCCAAGGTCTCACAGACTGGGGTTGACGGAAAGCTCCTGCAGGAGGCGAAGGCGGGCTGATTGCCTGGAACTTTAGGCAGGCTGCGCAAGCGCTCGGGAAGTGCAGGCTATCAACCTTTCGCTTCACTACTTGGAGAGGGTCATCGTTGCCTTGCACTCACGTTCGAAGGGTGTGCAGGCCTTGCTAACGTGACTGGATATTCTACAAATTTCATTCCATGGCTGGTGAATGCTGGTGACGATTTGCCTTGCCGGTAATGAAGGCACACGTGCCCTACCGCGACTCCATGATGACCAGCGTCCTTCGCGATTCCCTGGGGGGCAATTGTTTCTGCCTCATGCTTCATCATTCCCCATGCGTATTGTTTTTCATTTTCCGAGGTCGCACAACAATGGTGGGTTGCATTGCTGCAGAGGCCAGGCTGCTCACTATGAACTGCTGCAAGAAGGGAATTGTCAAAGCCTGCAGGCATCCAACATTCCTGAGTCCATATCCACTTGCCGCCACCTGGCTGCAAACCTTACTCATCTTGCGCCTGCTCTTTCGGTTGAAGCCGCATGGCAGGCTTTGCGCAGCGAGTTGCTCAGATCACAAACAATGCTCGGGTAAATGAGGAGCTTTAGAAATGTTTGAAGCATACACCGTTTTGGCCGTGGTGTGTCTGTGCTCAAGGAGCTTGATCCGAATCTACTCATCTCCAGACTGAAGAAAGAAGTGGCAGAGCTTAAAGAAGAGGCCGAGAAGCCTTGAAATGAACCAGTCTCGACTTTGGGAAGCAGTTGCTGTCACAATGCCAGCAAGTGATTTGGACCTTCGAACATAACCCGCATCGGTCAGGTGAAAGTGGCTCGTTCAAGCAAGGATGGCCAAGAAGCCGAGGCCGAATCTTCCATGAGTACAATAATATTCTAGTATTATAGTAATATAGCAGTATAAGAACTGTATAAAATATTGTGCTGTAGTATTATGATCTTTCATGTGAGAATTTTGTAAGCTTCTTCCACTGGTTGCCCGAGGCGCTAAATTCAGATGCAATCGAGCAGTGCAGGGCTCTTGTCCAGCAATACATATCCAAGGGCTCCAGCCCAAGAACAGCTGAGGAACACAGCTGAGCCATAGTCTAATCACTCTGTAAGGAGGTTACATGGGGTTTAGGTTCTGAACTCCTTAAAGGGGGTTGTATAGGGGATTATGTAGGCTACTATGGGGGTTGTTAGGGGGGATACTAGGAGTTTAGACTATAGCTCAGCTGAGACTGCAGCCTGAAGTGCCTTGGTAAGACAAGCAACTGCCCCTAGGCGCGAAGTCTGACGAGCCGTTCATGTGCGGCTCAATTGAAAGGCTTGGAACCTGCAGTGGATAGAACACTTACTCACGAACTTCATCCATTTAAGGTCACGTGTCGCCGGGGGTAGGTGCAAGTCCTGGCAGGCTGCGTGCGTCCTTTCGAATTCTGCGGGATATGTGCCTGGACGGGGAAGGCACACTTCGCTCGCATGCGCACTCTTGAGTTTCAGAATTGCTGTGAACTGACGCAGAATCCTTTTCAGGTCAGCACGGACAAGAAACGGAAGCAGATGCAGGTGAAAGAATTTGATGCTGCACTTAGCAGGTTGTCCAGTGTAGGCAAAGAGCAATTCTCTAGGACATTTTGCTGCGTTGGAGTCCGAGATCAAGAAGCTGAAGTTGGAGGTGGAAGTACTGGCTTCCCTTGCACGCGTAGAGTGTGACAGCGTCGCTGGTAACCCAAGGTTGCTCAGCGCGATCAGGACCCTTGGCACATTGTCAGGCAAAGCAGATCAGCAATCTGCAAAGTTGGAGAGTCCCAACTTCGCAGGAAATCGCAGTCATGGTGAAGATGCTCACGAAACAGCTTGCGCCTAAATTCTGGCTACAAGGCTAGCCCTTGCGCCAAAGCATGATCTACAAGCTCCGCAAGTCCATATCTACTGCCCGCCATGATGTGAGCTTTCAAGACGTCTTGCTGTCTTCTGCCGTAACTAAGGCGGGGCGACTCGCGTCCGTTTATAGCTGCTTCACATCAAGCATCCGGAGCTGCTCCTCTGCAGCATGTCGCGGGCTTGGTACTTTGGAGAGGGGGCCCTTGCAACAGCTCGGCAAAATCAGCTGTTTTAGAGGAGCCTGCTGGAGGATGTCCTGAAGTGGCTGGGCCGCAGCATTCCCTGCTTCACGCTGCTTTGTTTGACTGTCCCAAGGTCAGGGAGCTCACGGCTGACAACCCTGGTACTGCCACTGCGCCTGCCGCAGAGCCCGCAAAGCACGCAGCTCCACAGGCAGCTGCTAGCACAGACCATGTGATTTGATCGCTCCTCTTACGTACGTAGTGACCTACATCACTCATGCTGGGAAGGTAGACAAGCGCAGAGCACCGCAGCCAACAATGCCACCCGCCAACGAAGCAGCTGAGCTTCTCCTGGACAAGCAGAAGGCGCTGGAGGCACAACGTGGCTTGGAGACCACCAGACCACGTGGGCCGATTTGAGCAATCAAATCCATCAGCTGGGTCAGGTTTTCTGGCAGAAGGTGTACCGACCTCCAGAGGCATTCCAAGAGAACAAGGCCAGCTTCTGTATAAGCTTGCTTTTCAGAATGCTCGCTCGATGGTTCAGGTCCTACTCAAACAAAGAATTGAGAAAGCGCAAAGCTTGGGCAAGGAGGCGAGGCCATTCTCAGGACTCAAGAAGAGTTTTCCTTCAGCTTGATCGGAGAAGCTCTTGGGTGATTCAGTAGCTGATGTCTCGCACATAAAAATCATTGCGCTGCACTGTACTGCAAGGCAGTCCAGCTCAAGACAGAAATCGACTCTGCAGTTAGCTTAAAGGCACCTTCGATTGGCAGCACGGAATTCGTCCACAGAGTGCTCAGGTCAAGAGCAGGCTGCTGCGACTGCGTGCAGAACGCGCTTGGCCCCCATTTCGCAACACTGTAATTTAGGTAGAGCCGTGCACGCAGTGTAGTCTAAGTTGATTCCTGGGGATGCAAGCAAGCTCGCAGGGTGAGGGCGGTTAGGGAGAGGCGAGCGTGTGACAAAAGCCCAATTGGCACAAGGACAGACACCGTTTGTGGAAGCTTTGTGGATTGCTTGTCGTGGTGGACCTCTCATGGATCACATGCGCGATTGACATGTTTTTTTGAATGTATGGCAATCGCCGACAACGCACCCCGCTTCTCACAGCCGTGCTGTGATGGACCAAGATGCTGAGACTACGTCGTCACTAACTATAACACTCTCGCGATCTGGTTTTCCAGCTCAGGTAGCAGCTGCCCGGGCCATCAAACTGCTAAAGCTCACGAACAATCTCAACGCTTCCCAACAAGAATTTGTATTTGCGCGTGCTGCTGCAAAACGCTCAAATGGCAGCATCTCAGACTTCATGATGCTTTCTGTCCCATTGAGTATTGAACAGAACACATTTCAATGGACCAGCATGCACTCAAGAAGCCCTGGATCAAAAACCCTTCCCAAGTCTCAGCCCAAAGTCAGAAAACACAGCGGCAAGCTTTGCTTCGTTGAAGTTGTGTTCTTGACGGATGAGGCCATGACAGCTGCTGGTTACGACGATGCGCCTGTTGAAGATGGTCCGGAGGAACTGGCTGAGGCATGGAAGCAAAGCCCGGCAATCGCAGCAGGACAATTTATGAGTTCCTTCTGGTCAAGTACCCTCTAGTCGAACAACAAGTGAGGGAAGCGGAAATTGCAGAGGGTCAGCACGGCAGACGTAAAACAACCCAAACCTCCAACGTTGCTAGACAAGACGGGAACTTCTGCCTGGTGAGGTGTCAGAAATTGAGCGCCTGAAAAGCCAGTATCGTGAGAAGACTGGAGAGCTGCCTGCGCCCCAGCTTTGCCGAGCAACGGTTGGTGTTCTGAAAAGTGTCTGCCAACATGCCTGAAGGCGACATGTCAAGAGCGACGTGGAAGGCATCCAGCGTCTCCTCGAACAAAACCAGGACATCTGCTGAGAATTAGATTGCAAGATTGTGATAATGTGTGATGATCCTGCATGCGCAGGCAAGGGTCCGCCGAGAGTTTGAAACTTGGTTCTCGGGCCTCAGAAGCACCGCCCTTAAGGGGTTCTGCGGCCACCCTGAGCTAACTTTATGAGCTCCAAGTTCAGCACGGGAATGGCTGAGGTCGAGCAAACCTCTCCAAAATGGACGAGGAAAAGAAAAAGGAGCTCTTTGACAAGGCTCCCAACCGCTGAACACCTATGAGCCTTCTTCATCGCACTAAAAAAAAAACATGATGCTGGACATGCGCCGCGTGTTCAGGTGTCGGGCAACAGTCAGCATCTCAAAAGGATGTGCCTGCTGAGAGCTGGCTTTGGCTTCGTAAGACTGCCAGGCGGTTCCACAACACCGACAAAGGAAGCTAACGACAAGGTTTCACCATCTTCCACGTCAGCATCAAAGGCAGGTGTCCACGTCGTCGGACAATCAACCGGATCATGCCTTCAGAAGTGCTATACCACAACGATACAAAGGGCCACTTGAACCCTTGCGTCCAGCCACAGTCCGCGTGTCATGTCTGCAGCAGGTCGTGCTGACGACGACGCCCTCAGGGACTGCCTTTTCCTCTTGTGGTGCATGGTGAAGTGAGACTTGGTAGCCCGACCATTCTGCAGAAGAGACACGGTTCGTAGGTTACAATTAAACACACAGGGGGTCCAGGACGCCTGCAAATGCACCGCGCGCGGCAGAAGACCTGGCAGCCTTCTACGCCGCGCTTGGGGAGCTTTCGCGAAGATGACTTCAGATGGCTCACAAAAAATGTTCTGTCCACGGCTCTTGTCAAAGCATTGCTGCTGATGAAGAGTGCGCATGACCGTGTGCAAGCTCGTTGCCATCGTTTGACTGCTGCGCCTTCCATACCGAAAATCCAAGGTTCATACGAAAACAACACATCCGTTCTACCGCGAGAATGAGGGGAGCCCGCTTGCCCCAAACAAGGCTCTCCTGCCGTTGGCCGGTTGCACTTGCAAATGAGGTCACATTTGAAGGCTCTGAGACATTAGGCATCGTTCCGTAGAGAGGGCATATTGAAACTGTCCAGAATTTTGCGACCACACACACTGAGTTCTCAGTTGCTCCCATCTTTGGTCCAGGTGGGGCCTGTGCCCGGTTCAACGCCCAGAGCCTCGGAGCCCAGCTAAGAGTGGACTTTTATTGGGCAAGGGCAAAGAGTCCTTGGCGAGGTGCTACATCGCTCCAATGGAGAGCCTCAGGCAGCTGTGCCCAAGTTTCTTGCAGGACATGTATTGTAGATGTGGGGACGCAGTGTATCATCCCATCCAGAACCTTGAAATTACAATTCTGCAGATCATGTACTCTACACCGTAACTGCCTTGCTGCAAACACTGCAAGCCGACGCATGCAGACCTGCTTTTGGTGGCCTTTCCTGCACGGTCCTGGGCCTGCGTGCATGCGAGCCACAGGCCTCCTTGATCCGGGCGGACATACCCGGCGCCGTGCCACAAAGGCCCCCCGGCCTACAAACGTGATCCCGGCACTTAATTGCCTTGCAATGCCTTGCAGGTATAAGGGGCATGTGCCCTTCAATATGTATGACACGCAGCAGGCGAAGCAGTCCGGTGTCTCAGTGAAAAGGAGCTGAGCAAACAAGAGTTCAGGTCACACCATTCTCGCCATACACGGGCTTGGATTGTGGTGACATCCAGGGTGCCCAAACAGGCTCATGGGATCAGCTCATGCAGGTGAGAGATTACATTGGCTTGCTTCTCCCAATTTCCAGGCACTCGGAAGAGCGGCACCACATAATGCCTACAGCAGCTGGAAGACATACAGGCATCAAGCTGTGAGTGCATGCCTTGGCAAGCCTTGGCCAATGTCGTAATCTGTCGTACATCAACTTGCCAGATTGCTTCCTCTGTGACAGGTGCAAAGACGTGCTCAAATAGCCCATTTGAGGCGGGCATTATTTCGATGCAGCGCAGCGTCCGAATGTCACCTGAGCTATGTTCGGTCACCGGGTTGGATGGCATAAAGCTAAGATGAGAATGTGCCGTATATTTGTCAGAGGCGTTTACAGCCGGCAAGCTGTATAACTCCTCTGCCATGACTTATGGCCTGTTCAAAACAGGTGCTTGGAGACACGTGGCCCCGCCAGCTTTGCGAGGTTGTCCCCGTGCAAAGCTGTGTCATGCGCACAACTCACAGCTACTTCATTCCAAGCCTGATGTGATACATTGGTTCAAAGAGGGGCCTCCATAGAGTCAAGCATATGGCTTGCGCACTCTGTAAAGCACATTGAAGCACACTGGACGCAAATTATTTGCTTGGTTCGATCACAGGCAGCTCTTGCATTAGAATCAGAGTTTGGAGATTTGGTTCCTGTGCCTTAGAGCCATCACAGCCCCGCTGAAAGAATTGGGCTAAGCGCCATGCATGGCACATGTGGAGACTACAGGCACCACCTGCACCAACGTTCTGTTCTGATCACCTCATTGCAACAGCACACGACAGCCATGACATTTACATGCATGTCTAGGCAGATGCAGGTGACCAAATTCAGAATTGAGCTCCCTGCCACAGGTCAACACAATGCGACGGAATAGCTGGGACCACCAGCGATGGCTTTACAGACACTTGCTCGTATGAGGCTCGCAACACACGAAAGCACTTTGCTTTGGCATCCATCGCAAAGTGTCGCAGTCTTCGTGCTGGCAGTTCAACTGATTTCGCCTTTGCTGCAGGCTTCCTCATGCAGCTTCGAGCGCTTGGAGATCCACAGCAGCTTTTCAGGACAGCTGGATGTTTGCTAAACTGTTAAACACCCGTGCCGGGACACGTGAGCCAGATGCCCTTAATCAAGCAACGTATACTCATGTAGAGCTTGCCAGCCAGCTGCTGAAGCACTTAGACTAGATCAAGGAAAGACATGGAGTGCCTGGCACCATCTGGTACCTGCGTTGTGCGTTCCAAGCCCCCCAATTTCATCCCCCCCACACCACCCCTGGTGCTTCGAAAGTGTCAACAGTCACAGGGATGGCCATCCTCGTAACGGTCGTTGCTTTTGGTCCCTCATGCTGTTTGTTTTCAGGCTTCAAAAGTACTAACAGTCATAGGGATCTGGGTGGTCCTCATTGCCATCCTGGCAACTGTCATCGCTGGTAAATGTTCGTATGGTTGTCGCATTTCAAAAGTATTCACAGTCGCGGGGATCGGGATAGTCCTCAAATAAGTCTTCCATAAAGCCATGAATCCTGTAAAGCTTTTTAAGTCTCCTATGAACGGAAACACTAGAATCTCCGTGGACCTGCTTTCATCCGTGGAACCCGGGCCGCAGCCCGCAGGGACCACAGGGAAGGGTCAGGGTACTCGCATACACTTGATTTGGAGCCTAGAAGATGGGGGGGGCAGTGGCGGCCTGCCGAGATGTAAGCATATATGCGTTCAAGCTTTGAGAAGCCATTGGTCCACTGGTAGAGATCGCTGCTGCGTGCTTTGCGGAAATCCATCCATACTCATTGTAGAGGCAATCTTAGGTTCTTGACTGAATGACTGCTGCCCAAGCTTTGAGCCCTCTGGCAAATCATGTCTCTAGCGAGACGGTCCGGTCCAACGTGGAGATAGGTCATTCGCATATGCTGAAAGAGCGTCAAGTCATGGAAGCATGAGGATCTGGACGACAAGTCCGACGCGAATTTTTTGAAGTTCACCACAGGCTGCTGGTGGTCTTGCGGGTGGTCTGGTTGTTCCGCATTCAAAGCATATTTTGGCCATGGCATGCGAGGACGAGACGAGAAAACCCCGGAAAAGGGCCTGAAAGTCACCCCACAAATCCTTTGCTTTGGCCTTGGCATCAGCGACAGCAGCATTAATCTCCCGAGCGGAGTTTGGCTGCTCACACTTTACATTGTGAGGCTTGAGAACTCCCTGTACACTTTCGGGTGTGCGTCAGTGACTGCAAACTCAGAGCTCCTTACGTCAGGCGCTGGCTGAGAGAGAAGAACCTTCAAGCGACGGGGTGGTCTGGGGAGGGATTGGCAGGCTGCA